ACTTTTTGCTGAACTAACTACTTTATCGCTAATGAATTACCGCGATATATCCTAGTAGTGTAAAAATAGTTCTTGTGACTTTGTTGGGACACTTTGTTTGCATCGTTTTCCAATGTGTGAGCACAACTTCTCCAAGCGTGGTAACAAACTTCAAGGAGTCAAAAACAGGCGGCGTCAACCGCATTGGCCAACCAATGACCTCTGCAGAGGTAAAAGCGATCCTTTGTCCAAAGGCTGCGTGACATTCGACACAGGTCAAATCAACTAGTCTGCATCAACATGCAGCTCACCTCTTAGAAATCGCGAAGACCATAACCTAATTTTATTTTCTCAGGGCTGACTTAATAAATATCCCCAGCAATAAATTTGCTACAATAATTCGATGTTGCCTTTCTAAATGGCTCTAGCCCGTTTCTCCTTATTTAAAGTTGTCGAACAAGCAAATTCCCACGTAAAAATGTTCTGGTCCTGATTATTCACCTGGATGCAATGGTGAGTGCAGTTGTCTAATTTATTAGGCATCAAAGAGGCAGTTTGGATTTTAATCTGTTAGAACCTGTAGGAACATGTAGTGTGTATTCTAGCGTCCCTTCCGTGTGTGTATTCGCAAATTCACCCTCAACTGTGCTCTGCGCTGCTCTCATACCTTAGGGGCCAGCTATTAAGGAATGGCATTTAAGGCTGTTGGATGTCGAGTCTATCTGCTAAAGAATTCTACGTAGCAGACGAATGGATTTTTGTTTGGCTAATGTTAAATATCCCGCAGCTAGGTAGGGGTATGAATGGAAAGGCACGCAGGAACAATTGTATAGTTATAATTCATTCGTTACAGCTGCAATGTAATGTGGGCGCGTAAAGGATCCGTTTCGACATCAACAACAATTTTTTTCATTAGAGATAGAAAAAAAGCGTGCAAGACAAAAAACGAGCTCTAGGAGTAGCTTGATGAGGCAATGTCCAAAAAGAAGAAATTTTTTCAAACATGTTTGTAAGGATTGCTGAAAAGTTCCCAGCAGAATCGAGGGAAATATATGACACTAACAAGAATTGACAAATTGATTGTTGGAACATATTCATCGGAAGATGAGATTGCTTGTTTGAAAATTTTGGAGTACGTATCGTTTAAGGTTGCAATTATTTTACTCATAGATTGCTAAATGTCATATTTTAATGCACTAATAACACTGCCTTGACATCGAGAAGGCAACAAATTGGCCATAACCAACCACTGTTATCTCTGCAAATAATTACCGCGATTATAGCAAAAAAGTCCTACGTTGAATTGCGCGGTATTTGGAATGCTATGTATAGGGCAAGGTGATGTATCTAAAGATAATGGTAAAGGTGCCGATAAAGTGTCACTAATTACTAATTTGCAGATGGCCATTATTATGGTAATTTGCATCAAATAATCGCCTTTTGACATGCTAAGCAACGTATTCACATTTTAAATTTCTCAAA